TTACTTCTGGCATTGCAAACTCGTATAAACAAGCAGTAGTTGGCATCAATATTATAAGAAGAGTAAATCAGACGCTATCTGTACTTGAGATGACAGTTCTCTGCAAAGAAGATTCAGTTTAGTAAACTCTAAACAAAAATATCTTCTACGCAAATTGACATTGTCATCTCCACAATCTTATCCTACACTCTATGCTTCCTTTTTACAGCATAAGCAGATTGTCTCAGAAAAATGTAGTCACTTTTTATATTACTAACGTTTCACTCTATTAATCTTTCTGGGCCCTAGTGTTACATTTCAAAGTAGCACTTAAGATCCTACCTATAAACGGATCTTGCAAATTTTACGTTGTAGAATGGCACTTTTAACATTGGATAAAAGTTAGCTCTAAAGTTTTGAAAATTTGTGGGATGAAGTTACTTGGTACGTTGTGCTTAATTACGATAACAGTTTGATATCGTGAAATCTTATGCTAAATTTACGACTTTACGCCCGCACTGAAGCAATTATCTATCCCTGCTATAGAGGCATAAGAACGAATAAGTTATAGACAAATAATGATTAAAAAAAAACATGTAAACAGTTTTGTATTTTTTGGTCCTACACATAATTAGGAGAGCTCAAATCAAAAGATTTTTCTGTGCTAATTCTTTAACTACGCCTCGGTCACAAAGCGCTTTGAAACATTCTTTTCGTAAAAAGTTAAAGTCGTGTTGGACTCAAGAAACGAGATGTATCCGAATGTTTGAAGTGCTTTGCCCCTTGACATCTGTGACTATGGCTTTTAGCGGTTGCCTTCTGTTGGCACAAGCTGAAGTAGAGCAGAGATGGAGCGGGAGGAGCGAGTTGGAGGTGGGGTGAGGATAGAAGGAGGAGGGTTACCATAAGGTCCTTCTCCTCGCGGCATATAACTCCCAAGGAAGATGCCTTCCACTTCCATTTCCATACATGCGAAGGGTATCACTACCTCAGTAGTGCCGCAAGTTTCTAAACTAGCTAATGGAAGTGCAACTCTCATACAATGAGATACAGTTCAGTTGCTGCCAGAGTTTTCCATGCAAAATTTTGAAGAGTGAGGTGATAGGACTAGATGATTTCCACCGATTAATGCCGTTGCCTGAGTCGGCTGATAATTTTAAGGATTATGATTATGTGTAACAAAATACCTAAACACTCCTTCACACTCAAAATCGAGAGGCAACCTCAAAGCAAACCGGATTTTCATCTACCACAGGTCCTCTAAACCGGAACACGCGCTTTAACTATGT